AAAAAACTAAAATTTAGTATTGAATTAAGATAGTTATATCCAAAAACCCTTCTGCTAGCATGATTCCTTTTCATACCATTATGCAAAAAAAATCAATCTTACACAGCATACTGAGTTCCAAGAAAGGGAAACTGACAGTTTCAAACCATCCTAGTCTTACTTAGACCTACCTCTTCACTTTCAAATAGTGGTGATAGAAGCTCCAATGCATCACACACATCAATCATTTCCCACTTACCCATAAGTTTGATTGCCTGCTTCGCTTCCTGCATATACATCAACAAATCAATCTTCAATAATAACATTTTTGTTCATTAACCACATAAAAAGCATGTAACAGGTGAGCAGTGGAGAAACGAATGGTAACCTGAACATCACTCCATTCAACACATCTTAGAAATTTTGTTAGTGCCCTCTTCTCAAACATCAATGAGAAACAAAATTTCCAAAGCAGCTGTCTCTCATCTCCACTCAAAGCCCTTGTTGGTGGATATTTAAAAATTTTTTGGATTATCCTTAAAACAAAAGGAAAAGGAGATAATATGCCACCTATTTGAGAAGAATTTCACTAACTATTATGTGAAAAAAATACTTAAAATGATATATATGGATAGAATGACAAAACAATCTAACAGAGATAACAAAGAAAAGCCTCTGAAAAGTTGTCATCATTACTATCACTTTTAAAGAGCACTAAACTCTAGAAGTCATATTGACAAATACAACTAAATTTGGTTTTATAGAGCTTAGATACTTGGTATAGAATCAACAAAGATCCAACTTAACTACATGGCAGTTTAAAATGTGAGCTACACAGGCAACAACCATGTTGAAAAACAATATGAAACTTCAAAATATTTTGAACCTTAGTAATTACTACAGACTTCAAACTTACTTTCGTTCAATAAAGCTCAGCTTAAGATCCCTGTCAATAATACAACAAGTTAAACTCCTAGCCAACTTTAGTTGCTTGTGTTCAGAGGTATTTATCTTGCCCAGTTCTGGGTCCCACACGATGACAAGTTCATTTGATGAAGTTATTGGAAATGGCAACAAGAAATTTGCCCCTGACTCCTGCATGTTAAAGGATAGTACGGTAATATTATTTTGGTTAGCATTAAAAGGTTCAAAGTAATATCTCAGAATCATGCATTGAACTATTGTAACACTCCATACATACATACCCCCAAATAACAATGTTCTAAGCCTTTGCATACCATAAATAAAACCTTAACGGAGGCTTTTTATTCTTTTATATATATATATATATACATGACAGCAATTCTATATGAAAAGGCATAGATAAATTAAGGCATCTAGGACACCACAAACTTTTCAAAGTCTAGGTTGCTGTGAGAAAGCACCACTTCAAAGGAACCACCAAAATAGTAAAAATAAAAAGGACAAAAGGAATAGTTCGTTCTCATTAAGTAATACACAGCCGCTTCAATTGAGGCACTAATCGTTTTATTTTCAGTTTACATGCTCAAATTTGAAGAATGGGAATTGAGATATTAGAAAAGAAGATAATAAATTATTCATCATATGGCAAATATGCTTGTGGATCATAAAGATTCAACATAAACACTAAAAATAAGTAACCCGATGAATGCATTACACTACCTGGAAAACAACTCGATGTAAAAAAACACACACAAAAAACACAAAAAACACAAAAAAAAAATACCCAAAATTGTCTCCCCATAAAAATATCAACAAAAAACCCCGAAAACACATTTTTTTTATGCCAATAGTATAAAAATATAGCCAATGGTGCAAATTAAGAAGTGTTTATCTATGCATTGAAGTATGAATCTATTTAGTGCGTTTATCTAAAAGCATTAGAGAGAGAGAAAGAAACCTCACAAACTACCGTGCCAACAAAGTCACCTTGGTCAGCATCCAACATTCCAACTGAGACAGAAAATGCAAAGATAACAAAGTTTCAAGGTGCAAGAGAAAATGCAAAGATAACTAAGTTTCAAAAAAATTGAATCAAAAGCAACGGAAAAAAATGATTACGAGCAATTTACCTAAGGCAATTTGTGAAATACTTCTTTAAAAACAATATTAGTTGTCTGTTTTGAGATATTCCCTTGAACATCCAAGCTTAGAATTTTCAATCCATGCTTACTTTTTACTCTTGAAAGTGCAACATACAATTGATCATGGCTGAATACAGGCCTTGGAAGGTAAATTCCAACATGTGAAAGAGTTTGCCCTTGACTTTTATTGATGGTCATAGCAAAACACTTAACTAAAGGAAATTGTCTTATTTGAAATTTCCCTCGAAGTGAATGGTTAGAAAGAGTCATTACCATCCAAGGTATAAGGACAGACTGACTTACACTCTTTTTGGACAAAATCTTTTCTTCCACAACATGATTTCCAAGTCTTGTGATTAGTAATCTTGTTCCATTACACAAGCCATTGGATTGATCAATATTTGTCAAAAGCATGGCTGGGATGCCTACTTTGAAACTCACTTTATGATCTGGAAACCCTGAAGCAGTGAAAGTGTTAAGTACCTCATGAGCATATGTTTGTTGACTGGTATTGAAGTCCAAATCATCTTTGCATACGAAATCTGAACTTAAATAGCTCTTTTCCACACTTTTAATGCTAAACATCAACTAATCATTTAACATAACAACGTCCTTAATTGTTGGAGACAAAATGCAGCGCTCTTGGAAGAACTTAATATCTTGATCATCTATTCTACCCAAAAAGTCTAGATATACAAAATCCACAAGTTAAGCAAGTCCATTAACATCATCCTCGATCAACATTTCTTTTGCAAGCTCAATAATTGACTCACCATCAACATCATCTTCAATCTCTCCATCTCCAACTTTCAATAACCAATCAGAGAAATCCCTTAACTCCACCAAATTTTGGTTAGATGAGGCTGTCTATAACCTAAGATTCTTTGTAAGAGTTAAAACCTGACAATAATCCCACAGATAGAAAGAGTTGATTGTTGCATGAACAATTTCTTGTCTATCGCCATAAGAAACTACTGGTAAAATCTGTCTAAAGTCACCTCCAAGAACAATAATTATCCCTCCAAAAGGTTTTTTGGAAACGTCATTATGTCATCTTTGAGGACATCTCTCAAGGATTTGTCCAATGATTCAAAACAGAACCTATGTGACATTGGAGCCTCATCCCATATAATTAATTTGGTCTTGGACAACAACTTAGCCAAAGGAGTCCCTTTGTTTATGTTGCAAGTGGAATCCTCATTTATGTCTATCGGTATGGCAAATCTAAAATGTGATGTTCTTCCTCCAGGGAGTAATTCTGCAGTAATACCACTTGAAGCAACATTAAGAACAATCTGTCCCTTTGATCTAAAAGATGCTGAGAGAGTTTTCCAAACAAATGTTTTCCCAATGCCTCCAAAACCATATAGAAAGAAAACACCTCCTTGATTCTTATTAACTGCCTGTATTATAGTATCATAAACCTTTCTTTGCTCATCAGTAAGACATGACAAATACTTATTCAATTCTTCAGATAGAAAAGCTCTATCATAGCACATTTCATTCAAAATTAACTTATCATGCATGCCACAAAATATCATAGCATTAAGCTTTAGCATGGAAGGAAAATCATCAAGACTCTTTCCATTTCCTTGAAGAAGTTTCCCAATTTTAGCAAGAGCATTATTCCTGCTTTCCTCATCACTCATATGAAAATCTACAATAAATAGTCAATTATAAAAGTCACTACATGAAATGAGTATAGGATAAGAGATTTTATTATTTTGTAAAATAAGAAAGAAAAATAAAATTATAAATTGAGCAGCAAAGAAAAAAAAAAAAAACCTTATCTTCCAATGTCTTGTCTTTGACAATGAAGTATGTCATCAAACAAATATTTCTAGCAACTATCCCAAACATGCTCAGGTCTACACATGCTCTTAGAGTACAATAGAGACGCAAAAAGCTGTCGAAGGAAGTGTCCAGTCTGTCCCCACAAATGAGCTTCATTTATAGCAGCAATGTACTCCTTATCATCAGCCAACAATCCCAAAGCATAACATGCTTCTTTAAAGTTAGGAAACACAGTACCATTTATTGTTCTAATAGCTTTATAACTTCTGCATCCCCTCTGAATATTCAATAGAATCCTCAAATAAGATTCTTCTCTAATACCAAGCAGCACATGAGCTATTCTTCCAATAGCAAAGCCCTTGTTCCTCTTGGTCCACTCATGTATTTGTTCATTGTAGACAAATTGTGTGGGAAATTCAGCATAAATAAGTTCCCTTGCAAAATCAAATTTTCTATTTGCTTCCATCCAAGCCTCAAACATTGTTTTTTTAGAATCAACTTTACTCAAAACTTCCTCAATATCATCGTTATCTCTGTAAATAACATACTTTTTATCTTCCAAGTGGAAAGATAATCTTTGCACAGATGGAGACCTATAATGAATTGGAAATCCAAAAATCCTCCAAGCTGCTTCACATGCAGAAACATACCTACATTTAAACCAAAATCATTTTAATATACTGATGATTATTATAATTTAAGATAAATTTTAATATACCTACATTTAAATAACTAATGATTGTTGCTAAAATAAAAGAAGGCTAAACAATATCTCTACAAGTTTTGAACTTGGATCACCTTCTAGAAATATGTTTCAAAATAGCCATACTTTTGTAATTTCCAACCAGAAAGATTCAAACATTGAAAAAAAGATCTGACCTTTTCATAATTCTAAAGAAGTATATAGGAGAAATGGGAAGCTTTTTTGAGGTAATAACCTATTTTCTTTTTCTCTTTTACATTCTAATGCAGCTTGATATTTAAAATTTTAAGACTGAGTGTAAAATTATTTAAATAATTAATTTTTCTTACAAACCTGCAAGTTGCAATTGAAAGGAAAAAAGTCAACACCAGTGGGTAACATAAATTGTGATCTAATCCACATAATATAGCCTAGCTAATAAAATCTAGGGATATTTATGCTATCAACATGTGATAATACATTACGCACGTGAACAATACTTAATATCTAATCTTACCTTTTTCAAGACATAATTTTCATTAACTATGAAGATTACATACCTTTTTGGAGACCAATCACACTACATATGGTTTGATGCTTGAAGTTTGAATACACACTACCATTTACTGTTCTAATATAGATCATTTTAAAATCATTTTAATAGACAACCATTAAAACAATCATCGAAAAAAAAGAAAAGCATTCGGGGAACAATGATATGCACTCACCTACAATCACCTACAATCATAATATCTCTAGATTTCATCTAAAGAAGTTGATCCACTCCCTCCAAGATGACTGAGTACAACCGTTACCCGATCATTACCTTTGTGAATATATTCGAAAAGGTACTTAATAGCACTGGTTTGACATGTATACTCCACATTTAAGTGAGCTTTGTACTTTAGAAGAAGCTTTGCATTATAAGGAACGACATATTGATTATCCAGCTCAACACCTTTCTTCTTCACTGTTCTACCATTATCCTTCCTCCTATAATGAGGGAAGCCTTCTTCATCTATTGTGGTTCTAGAGCAAAATCCTCTGGGAAAGTGTTTTGTGCAATTCTTACCACCTTTCATGCAAGGCGATTTAGGATTTGCTCTTCCACACGGTCCATGCATCATGCAAGCCTTGACAACATCATACAATTCTGGATCTAGTACATCGTCAGGAATTTCTGCTGAAATAATTTTATCAAGGTCCTTTACAGATTTTGGCTTGTCATCTGGATGTAACCATAACAATATATGCACATGGGGAAGCCCACATTTCTGAAATTCAATTGTGCAAGTATCTGCTCATGAAGTTAATCAACCAAATGAGAGATCTTAAAGGCCCATGACAGTTAAGTAAAAAATAAAGAGTTATGGTAGTAAATTTAACTTACATGCTAAAACTCTTCCAAAAATATGACCACTCCTCAAATCATTGAGCAAATGATCTAATTTAATATTAAAGACCCTACAAAGTATGTCAGGACAGTCCTCAGGTCGAAGGCCTCTTTTACTAACAAATCTCATGATTTTCAACCATTTAGGATTGCAAGTTATTATAATAAAATAAACTTGGATAACCAGCCCAATGACAAATGGCAAATGCATCCTTGCAGTTCTCAGACATATACTTAGGACCTCCAGTGAATGAAGATGGAAGTACAATCCGCATGCCAATAGCAGATGCTTGCTTTTCACCTCGACTTAGAGCATTGTTCAAACCTTTATACAAATCTGCTCTTAACAAAGTTTGATTATATTTCAAAAAATTCAATCGCTGAGCTTCAATCATTGTGTAAGCATCCACCATGAAATGTGGAAACAACTTCCTTGAAGATAACAAAATTAGGGTCTCTTTCTCCTTATTTTGCAGACGAAATGTAAAAGCCTCTCTGATGCTTACTATTTTCCTCCCACCATCCTTAGATGATGCCAAAAGGTTGAGCATAACATCATTCCTATATCCATCTTCTCCGTAAGAAAACAATAATGGAAATTGCAAAGCAAGATAAAAAGGATGGTGCACATCAATGCATTGCAGCAACCTAGATTGTGTTTCAATTATAATGTCCCTATCTCCAATAGAACCATCAATATATCCAACAACCAATGCAGCCAGTTCAGATGCAGATGGTAGATTGTATGTTCTTCCATCCTTGTTCCTTTGTCGAATTAGCCTCATCTTGACACCTTCAAGATTATCTTCTATAAAATGGTCCCTTGCATATCGAAAACTCTTGGCAAGTGCATTGTTTGGATCAAGCATTTCCTTCAAGGCAATTATAGTTTCAGGATCCAAATTTTTACTTTCTAGTCTTGAATTGTAAAAATAAATAAATAAATAATCAGTCTAGAAAACTACATAACAGTTTCAAATGTAATTCCTAAAGACACTAAACAAAAGGGCAATAATATAATTAAGGAGATGATTTACATACCCAAAACATTTCAACCTATTTTTAATTTCATTCTCTGTATCAAAGATGTAAAGTTGGGTAAATTTAGGACTGTCATTTGCAACAAGGAAAAGACTGCCCACATAATGATGATTTTGACCACCAAGTCTGAAAATAGGAGGATTGGAACCTTGATTGATCAAGGGATCAACTTTACCTCCAAAAGATGTAAAGGCAAACATTATCTTATACGCCTTAAGATTGCATAGGAAATTCTTACTACGATTGTCTTCAGCTTTGTATAAATGGGTGACTAAAGTAGGAGCAGGCTTGAGAAAGGGCAATTGAACCTTACCATTCATACAACACAAAGTGAATTCTGGATTGATTGGGTAGCAATCTTTCTTAGTTCGCTCATCATACTACATTAATGCACCACAATACTTGCATTTGTATATAGGGTCCCCAATATCTAAGTAACCTACAAACAATTTGGTTGAGTTACAATTTGTGTGAAGTCTAATCTATGAAATTAGAGACAAAGGAATTTTAAAACAAAGTATGGTACTGTTATCAGTAAATCTGCATAATTAATAAGATTGGAATGTCATGTCAATAAAAGAATAATAAAAAAATTACAAAATACATTCACCATCAAAGATTGGAGATGAAACATCAGTATTCCCTTTCCAAATAACAACTTGTTAATATATGATCAAAAAAAAAAAAACAGTAGACAAAACATATATAGCTTAAACTTTAAATGAATGAGTATAGCATTATACCTGTAAAGCCATTTATACTTGAATTACTTGAAGTATCAATTATTGACGTTTGTGAGGACCTATTTGGATTTATATTCTTTTGCAAAACAGAATACCTTTGTCTATTACCAACAACTTTCTTTTTTCTTGCACTACATCAAATAATATCAAATCAAGTGAACGAATGACTCAATTAACATATTATGAGAGATTTAAAACTAATTAGTAATAATTATATGAAATAAATCTGATAAAAATAAATATCAAATAATACGAAATAACACAACTATTAAATAAATCTGATAAAATAAATATCAAATAAGGATCTTACATTATAGAAGAACAGACTAATGATTTCGTTGCACAATCTCTAAAAAAATCAAAACTTTCCTTAACTTCTGTCTATGGCTAGAATCAATGACAAGGAAAACATCATCATCACAGTTTTTCTTTCTCTTGACGTTATGCTCAAAAGGATTAAGCAAATAAGCTGGAGATTAACATAAAACACAACATAAAGATGAAGATAAAAAGGATGTAAAACATATGAAAACTAATCTAAATTTTAATAATGATAGAAAAATTTTCACACATTTATTCACTTACAATTTGACATATCACATAGAGTTGATCTATTAAAAGGTTGAGAAGCATCAGTATAAATTTCAGATGGAGCCATAGGAGTGCCTAAACTAACGATAGCAAGATTTTCCATGTAGACATGTGATTCGTTTCCTATAAGCACAAGCAAGCAACAATTAAAACTATAAACAACAAAAGTTTCAATAGAAATATAAAAGAGATGTAAATAGTAAAAGAGTAAGAGCATAAGGGGGTAAAGAAATTGAAATGTAAAAATTGTACAAGACAAAATTAATGAAATAGACCTTTAGAAACATGAGGTTGTGCATCAAGGTTGGTAGATTCGTCAACCACATTTATAGAGCTTTTATCATTTGAATAGGCAGACAAAGGCATTTGCAAAGACATATTAGCACTTGGATTCACATGAAAAACAGAACTCTTTCTTCTAATACTGCCAACATTGTTCTTTTTTAAACTGCAATTAAAATAATATAGGCATTTTCATATGAGATATAGAATCAAATAATCATATAACATTGATAAGAAAATATGAAATAAGGATCTTACGTTATATTAGAATTCCCTAGATATGTAGATGCACTTTCTTTGAAAAATTCAAAACTTTCCCTCTGCAAGACTTCATTACAACTAGAGTCTAGAATGGGGAGCAGAACTTTGTCACATTTCTTCTTTAGTTTGGCATTATGATCTAAAGATCTATTTAGTAGTTGAGATGTATCCAAAACAGAAGCAGCAAACAGACCGGCCATAAGTGTGCATGAACTAGTATTATCAAACTCAGCTTGCAAACTTGATTTTCTTTTATCCTTTGGATCCCTGTAATTATAGGAACACATAAACAATTAAAAAGGAAAAATAAAGTGTCTGAAAATATAAGCAAACCAAAAAACCAAGGAGCATACATGAGCAAAGATGGAATATGTGGAATGGGAGACAGATGATGCAAAAAGAAAATGAAATAAGTAGTATAGGAGATAAATAAGAAAACAAAATTTAGAAGATCATAAGCCACTGTTTTGAAAATATAAACAAAAAAAGACAAATGAAGAACATATATGAGCAAAGAAAAGGAAATAAGTGGAATGGGACATAAATGATAACAAGGGAAAAGTTATAAAAGGATTTTCAACAGAAAATCATCTGTGGAACAAAATCATAATTAAGAAAATCAAAAGTCACTATTCTGAAAACACAAATATAATAAATAAATAAAGAGCATTAATTGAAAAAATAAATAGGATAATAGACAAATAAGGAGCATTAATTGGAAAAGTAGGTAGGATGAGTGGTACGGGAATTGGCTCTAAATATTTCAAGATTGGTGACCTTATTAAACATCATTTAGAATTTTAAAAAGTGGAATGGTAAGAAAGATAACTGCAAGACTGGTTAAAGTTACCTCACTTATCTCTAAGGCCTTGATACCTGCTAGGAGTTGGGGTTCTGTCGTGCGACCTTTTAGCATGCATTACAAAAATAAAAGCAAAGATAAAATTATCACTCATAAAACAAGTCGAGAACATGGACACAACATTATGGTAATGACAACATGAAATTTCTAAACTATTTTACACCAAAAGATCTTGAAAGTTGCCTCTCAAATGGTAGAGATCCACATCTAGCCTCTCAGATGGTAGAGATCCACCTCTAGCGTCTACAGTATGGCAATATTAAATGCCCTCAAATAAAAAATGTGAAATAAAATCACAATTAAGAATATCAAAAGTCTAAACAAATATAGTAATAGAGAAATAAATCAATAGAAATATCACTACTAAATATGGAATGTAACCCAAATTACTGAAATATCATCAGTTAAACTACCATGCAAGAAGATTAATATGGTTATTGTAATGAAAAAAAAAAAAGACAATTGTTAATTAAATTTCATGAGCACAAAGGATGAAATAAGTGGAAATCCCCATACAGTAAGAAAACCATACAATATCAAATGCTTTTAAAAAAGGCATACAAAATAATAATTAAGATTAAAAGGCTAAATAGATAACAATATAGAAAAATATATATATTCCCATTAAAATGTCTTATAAAAGATGTTTAACCAAAAAAACATACACTTGAAGTTCTTAATTTAAACATTATATATTTATTTATTTCATATTATTCATAGAAAAAACCATAGCTTCATAATTTGATTCAACCAAACACAAAATGCCATAAATCTTTCTCAGTTTTTATGAGCTTTTTGATCTTTGTTGCAAACTATTGAAGCAAGCTATCAGAAACTTCATCTAAACCAACTTCAGTAAATAACCTCTTTGAAATAATATGTCTTTCATTCGGTGCATCTTTAGTACAATTATCTCTTATGTGGGAAATCTAATCCCACAATCACAACACATTAACAATATTAAAAAGTGCTAAAATCAGACCATCATGCTAACTTATGGTAATAAAGAGTTGACATAATTTTTATTAAAAGATAAAAACTCACCCCATCAATATATTCGTTCATTGAAATACTTGCATTCTCGTCACATGAAAAGTTTTGAATTTCAGAAGATTCCTACATAATTAAATCATAAACAAAAATTTTTAAAATTTAAACTTAATTTAAGAATAAAAATTTTAAAAATTTTAAACTTAATTTAATTATAAAAATTTAATAAATATAAGCAAACACACCTGTCCAGTTGTTTGTAAAAAGCTATTAATAATCTTTTTATCAAAGAAAATCTTCCCAACATTGTAGACACTTTCTTCAAAACTGTTAATATTATTATCTTTGATGCTCAACCTAAAAATCATTTTCTTGTTCTTCAAAGCATCAAGCTCCATAGGATAAGTTTTTGGATCGCCACCCTTATATAATTAAAATTAATTATATTATAAAAAAATCATATAAAAGATTAAATCTCACAAAAATAAATATTGAAGGTGACAGAAAATTACCCTTTTGAAGTGTAGGTCATGTAAATCAGAAGCAGAAATATTAAGAAATCCCTTTGCAGCAGAATAAAAAAGAATGAGAGATACAACATCAGTTCCATCAACTACACGAACTTGAATGCAATACCTTTATAACAAAAAAACAATAAAATTAATATCAAATAATTAAAACCATAACTTAATCAAATTTAATATTTTTTCTATGTTTATGAAAAAAAAAAAATTCTATGAATTTCAAATCACAAACCTCAATTTAGGATTTGACCATCCCTTGTCACATTTTTTGCAATACCATATTCCAAAGTCCTGCTCAACACTATTTGTACAATTATAATAAGATTTGTAGAACTAGTTATGTGTAGATTCAATCAAAATAATCTCAGCAAAAGTCAAATAAGTCATAACCTACAAATAAAAATGTATAACACATTAAGTAGAAAAAAAATAATAAAATAGAATACCTATAAATAAAAATGGGAAAAACAGCTTAAAAATTACTTCTCTAAACTCTTTAATTTCCACAATAGTTTTCCTCTGCAAAATTTCATCATCAAGTGACAACATGCCAGAGGCTACTACACTCAACTTTTTAATGTGAACCCCTTCACTAGTGAGAATCCTACAAATATTAAACTTAAGTAAAAATAAAAATGTTAATATAATGTCCCACAATTTATTGTCCTAATTATAAATGAACCAAAAAATAATATAAAACCACATAATAATATTGTCAAACCAAAAACAATCATATTAGACACGCATGAGCAGTAATGAAATTAAAAGGTTGCATCAGTTGCTGCACAGATATCTGAAAGCAAAATGAAACATATACAACTAACTACTCAAATACGATCAAACCTTGCATTTTGGCCAAGTACATCACAAAGTGTGCACCAATTTCCGGTGTGATTAAATATGCTTCCAATGTATTAAAATAAAAATGTTGATGCATAACAAAAAAAATAAAAAACTATTAAAACAATAATATTGGGATGAATAGCATAAAAAAATTTGGTAAATGTTCAAAAACCACCAATAAAAATTGTAAGGCTAACATGCTAAGGGATTATATTCATTAAAAACAGAGTAACATAATTTGGAAAATATTTGCATATTGAGACAACAAACATTGAGGCCTTAATGCACAAAACAATCCAACAATAGAATTCACTGAAAAAATGGAAGACAAACTTATAAATATTAAATTTAAGTAAAAATAAAAATGTTGATGCATAACAAAAATTTTTTTAAAAAAATCTAAAAACAGTAGCATTACCTCTCTTTAAATGCAAAAACTTCAAGAATATCATAGTTATTTATAAAGATCTTAGTATTGAACATGGTGTTGGAAATCCCCATCACACCTAAATAAACCACCAAAAAAATTATATAGAACTTTCAAAATAAAATCTAAAAGATAATACTAAAATTAATAATTAAAAACGTAGAGTAAAACCTCTCCATGATTTCATCTTTGCAAATTGAATGATGAAAATAACAGATTCATTGGAGCTTTTATCAATAACTGAACACATCTCAACAGCAAAATTTTCCCAAAGAGTGTAACGAAGCTTATTACCATTGTTTGAAAGAAAGAAAAAAAAAAATAAATTGAAAGAAATATAATGAGAAATTAATTAAAAAACAAAAATATTTAAATGAAAAATACCTTAAATCATCAAGTTCAAATGAAATCATATTCAATGGAGAACCATTTTTTGTCACTTGCTTCCGCTCAATTACCACTGACAACAACCCAATAACATCTGAAAAAAAAAATCATGTAATGTAAAAAGCAAATTAAACTTGCAATTTAATTGAATAAATTAAGACAAAAATAGAATGAAATTATTCTACAATAAATATACCAACTAAAAAAGCATTTTTTTGAGTTTGGTTTAAAATCTTATCAAACTCAATGAAAGAAAATGCATAATTAGGGATGCTGAAATCATTAAGCAAACTGTGAGCAATTCTAGGATTAAAAATAATTTTGTATTTATGTGTGGTTGGCTTATAAGGATCTTCATTCATAGAAACACCAAAATTCGAAATTGTATAAACTCCTCATTCAGTAAAAGCATCCTTAAAAGGCAAAGAAGCCCTAAGAGTTGCTTGAATCCTCCCCCCCTAAACAAAACATAAAAAAGTGTTAGAAGTAAGAGATGTGAAAAGCAAACTTTAGAATACTTATTGAAAACCAAATTCAAGAACACAAAATTCTTACCTGTTCATCCAAAAGGAGCATTTCAATATTATCACTTAGTTTTGACTATCAAAAATTCTTTTGCTTCCAAAGTCTAATTACTCTAACTTTTACCCTCCATCGCTCTTTAGAAGGATTAAGATCCTTAATAAAATCAAACATATTAGCCATCAGAATCTATATGTTCTTTCTCTGATACTTAAAAAGAAAAAGGACTGGTATAACATTATATATGCATGGAGAATAGACCCTTCAAATGACTAACATTTATTGGACATATTAAAAAAAAAAATGAAAAAATAAAGTCCATAGAATTAGAAATAGAAATTAAAATCAGCAGATGAATGTAAATTTTCAATGCATTAAAAATATAAAACAATAAATAATGGAATATATCAGATTAAAGATTGGATTGCAATAGACTATAAATAGATTAAATAAAAAAATTCAATAATAAATATGAATATTTCGATTTTTGAATTTTGAATTTAATAAATAAATAACAAAAAAACCCATCACCTAATGGTTAATAGACCCTTCAAATGACTAATATTTATTGGACATATTATAAAAAAAATTGGAAAAATAAAGTCCACAGAATTAGAAATAGAAATTAAAATCAATAGATGAATGTAAATTTTTAATGCATTGGAAATATAAAACAATAAATAGTGGAATACATTAGATTAAAAATTGGAATGCAGTAGACTATAAATAGACTACATAAAAAAAAGTCAATAATAAATATGAATATTTCAAATTTAATAAATAAGTAATAAAAAAACCATCACCTAATGGTTAAAAATAATTTTTTCATGCGCCACATATT